ACAATGACTGATTGAGAACTTTCGGTTTCGGCTTTGAATTCATTTTCACGAATTGGATAGTATGGCTACCGTGAGGTTTCAATTCGTCTTCTACTCGGGTAGTGACACACTTTTAGGGTTATGTGACTTGACCCCGAGGTCTCAATCTGCCTACTTATCAGGTCTCGTCACTGGTCTTCGTAAGAGTCTCAATCCGCTTACTACCCAAGCGAAGATTGCCCGTGCTTGGAAGTAGGTATATACATTTATAAAATTATTTTTCGTTCTGTGTTTTTTTGAAATCGAAGTTTTGCCAGGATCTCAGCTAGGATTCTCAAGTTATGTTATTTCTTCACATGAGTATTACCGTTCATATAAACGAGAAACATTGAAAAGTGTAAAAGTAATATTTTGATGATGGTGTTCTCTTGTGATCAGATGTTTTTCCCTTTTGAATACGTTTGTATCCCTATCAAATTTCCTGAGTACTGGCATTGATCATTTCCGATATATTTCACAGAATTCTAAACGTGTTTACTAAATCCACTGGGATTAAGAAACCTGGTGTAGAAACCTACAGTATTGTTGAAATTCAAAATTGTATTACTTTAAAGCAGAAGTCCAATCGGAATGACTTTTGTTGTATTGGGATCTGTCTTGATACCACAGAAAACTGGTCATGCAGGAAAATCATTTTTCTTCACGAAAGAAAAGACTCTGGAAGTAGATGAAAAACTAACATATTCGTAATGTGAGAAAAGAAGAAAATGAACAAAATTCCTATCGATACATAAGTTTGAGGGGTTAAGACTGATACAGTGTCCAGTGTATACTGGTATATATTCAACTTTTCATTTTAGTAATTCAACATGTTATTTTTTTTCTTTTCAAAATATTATATTTTCCGTTATATAAAAAATAATGAAGTATACTACAACATCAAAACACACTCACCCTTCCCGAAATGTTATCCTCATAGTCATATAAAAGCGTCGTGTTTGAATTCAAAATAATTCAGATGGGCCATAATTGTGTTTCATTTTATTAATGCCAAAAATTAAACACGAGTAAAAGCAACGTTGAGCTACCTTGCCGACGAATAAAGATGAAAATGGTATTCATTATATTACTTCAATACTCTGGGGAAATCAGGGTGAAACAAGGAATTTGGAAATGTCTTGATATAACGATTTTCATTTTGTCTATATTAATCTGGACATTGAAAGCAAGAGAGAGCATTTATGGAAATGCCGATGATGAATTGAATTTTCATGATACAATAAATGTTTTATGAAAAAACCTTTTTATGTATTCTCACCATCGACAATTCAACAAAAAATTAAAATAATAATGGAGACTTCCATATAATAGATTTTTCTGAAGTATTTGATTTTTGACTATGAAATGCAGATAAGAATTTAATTGATACTCATCTCAAGGTTCTTTCTGAATATTTTCGAATAAATCGATTTAGTGAGAAAAAACTGTATTATATTCAATTTTTTTCAATTCTGAAGACGGTGGCAGATTTTTGACCTTCAATACATTAACATAAGTATCGATGAAATTCTTAGCTCTTCTTTGTAGATAAAATTACCAGAAACAACAACTACTAATAAGGGGAACATCCTTTAATCCCTTCTATACCTGGATAGATGTTTCCACTACAATTTTTTATTTTTGAAGGAAATGGCGGTGGAAAAACCCATAAAGGTAAATGAAAAATATCATTTCGTTTCCAATTATGGATCTTGGATTCAGATAACTGGCAATACGAAATAAAAATGTTGGAAGTACTTTCTTTCGAAGAGAATTCATTTGATACCTAATAAATAACAGTCATTGATATGACTACTAATACTCGTAATAACCACCTATATCTTTTTTCAGTTTTCTAATCGAAGATAGCTGAACCAATTCTGCTAGAAGTGGATCAATACTGACTCGAAACTAAAATAATTGGTGGAAAATATAAATAAGTTAGCTATGTTTACATAGGCATGGCCAATTTGCCAACAAAACAGGCATTTATTGATGACTTTTTGAACAGAGTTGAGGAGAGATTGAATATGGAACACTGGATGTTGTTTCTTCCTGAGATCAATCGAGGACAGATCAATTTTGATAAAAACTATTGAAACAGACGATTTTCAAATGAACTGCCAAACAAGGTAGTTTACTATAAGGAGAGTCAAACTAGTAAACACAATACGGATATACAAATATCCAAAAAAATGAAAATCGGGTTGTGAAGCAAGCCAACTTCTATAAAGCGCAAACAATATACCAACAGTATCAACCAGACACAAGATATAAAGTACCAATAGAAATTCTGATTGAAAAGATCCACATTGAAAGTGATCTGTAATAACACAGATTATTGAGAAAACGATATGACATCCCTTTTTTATATCTCAAGCAAGCATTAGATAGGATATAGCAACGTTCTGACACAACATATAAAAACCTCGGTATCCTAGGAAAACCTACAAAAAGAGTGGAACAAGACGATTCACTTACGTCATTATCTAATTCTCAACAATAAGTACCGTCAAAATCAAAGCTCATTATTATATGATGTTGTTAAGCGATTTCCGGCCAATTTTCTTCCACAAACTGAACGATAGCGCTGCCGAAACAGCTCGAAAAATCAACCAAACATTTTCCAATGATACTGTTAATGCGACTTTGGGTTGTGAAATATCGGAGATTTTAGCATCGAAGATGAGCCCCAAGAAGGTCAACCTACACTAGATTAGATTAGATTGTCGGGGAGCTAGCCCATGGCCTGATTTACTGCGACCTTTTCAGATCTATTGTGATGCTCCTTGGTTGTTAAAGCTCATTGTCTAGCTGAATATCTTTGATGAGACTCCATAGTCTTGTCATTGACCCCTTCATATAGCTGGCAGCCTCTGGTTTCTCTTCCCCGTATCTTGCGTGTCTCAGCCTTGCTATCGCTTCGCATTTACAGAGCACATGCAGTGCGATTTCTTCCTCTAGTTGACAGAACCTGTATTGTATTTTTTCTGTCAGACCTATGCTACTCATATGTTTCCTGAGTCACCTATGTCCCGTAAGTAGACCCACCACTACCACTACACTAAGGTTATGGTTTAGCAGGTCTTTCGTGAATATGGGCGATGGTTTCTTTATGAACTCTTTCGCCTGCCTCATTCCTGGGAGCTCATTTCACCAATATATCGATTCGGCTTGCATTCATGAATGTATGGATGTCTTTATACATGCTATCGCTACCCCGCAGAAGGGTTCTTGGTCGATCACAGCCTTGGATGCGCCTTCATGGGTTAGAACATTGGCTTCCTCATTGCCCTTGTGACCCTTATGGCCGGGTACCCAAGCTAGAGTGAACCTATTTTGGGTACTTAGCTCATTGAGCGCGCTCAGACAACTTCCTACCAGTCTTGAGAAGACTTGAAATGAGCTGCGCGCCTTAATTGCCTCCTGGTTGTCATAGAAAATGGTAATGTGACCTCCTGCCTAATCTACACTAACCCAGACTGGAGACTGGTTTTTTAAAACGAACCAGTCAATTAGCTCTAAAAGTAGGTGTTTCACGAATTCAACGGTTGATAAAGCTTTCACGTTTAGATATTTTTTTGTATTGGATCATCACATGTAATGAGAAGCAGATACTCTACGAAAACAGGAGTCTTTCAGGACGGTAGTTGCCACCCAGAGATCCTCACTTTTCTGGCCGGAGAAGAAATTGTTTTTCCGATAGTTATCACCTGAGTCTTGTCCGGGTTCACTCGGATCTTCCATTCGAGGTACCAGCGCTCGAGGTCGTCCAATGCACGTTGTATGTAGACGATCCCGATCTCCCAACCCATGGAAGATGAGAGGAGTGCTGTGTCATCGGCGTAGAGAGATATCTTCACTCGCTCGGACCTCGGGAGGTCACTATTGTAACGAGAGTACAGCGTGAGAGAGCACAGCACCCTGTGGCACTCTAGAGAGGATCTCTCTGTTGTCAGAGACAAAGAGTCCTCTACTCTAACCTGAAATGTTCTGTCTTTCAGGAAAGACCAAATCTATCGGAACAGGCCCCGAGGCAGGTCGAACGCGACTAGCTTATGCAGAAGACCTTCGTGTCATACACGGTCGAAGGCCTTCGAGATGTTTAAAAGCACAACATAAACTTTACGATTTTTGTTCAGCTCTGCGATGGTATTTTCGACCAGTCTCAGTGCCTGTAGCTCAGTGGAGTGTTCTCTCTGATGCCAAATTGTTCGTCAGGCAGAACATTATGGTCCTCAACTTCTTCGATGAGACTTTGCAAAACGACACTTTCAGCCAGCTTGGTTATTGAATCGACTCCTGGAGCTTTCTTGGCGTTTACGGCCCTGATATAACCCTTCTGCTGCTCCATAGAAGCTGGGCGTATGTTATCCTCATCATCTTCCCTGAGGATACGGTGAACCCGATCTTCCAGCAGAATATCGCGGTCTATGTCACCATTATCGTCAATGTTAAGTTGAAACTGGCGTTCCATCGTGTCGGCAAAGGCCAATGCTTTGTCGGCGGGGGACTATTAGAGTTGTTGAAAAACCCTCTATATATTGTAAAAGATACATCGTACTACATCAAAAGTTAAGTCACAATTCTAAACAGTCAATCGATAAAAAATGTAAAAAAAAATTCTCATATTGTGAAATAAAAATGTTGATAGGTCAGGAAGAGGAGTCACATGTTGCACTAACTCCACTCTCTGGCCTATAAGCACCTTCATTATTGCAGAATTCTATACGTGTTCCAAATATCTTTAAATTTTCACGAAACTCACATTAACATGTACATTTTGACTTCGATATGGCCAGAGTGGGATGTATTCTAAATTTTTTCAACCCCCTTATTCGAAAGTCTAGTCGGAAACATATTGTAAATATTTTTTTTTCTGAAAAACCTCAAAGTGAAATGGGTTCTCCAATCGACATATTTCCAAATTCCGTAATAATTTCCCTGACATCCCCGGACCATAATTCAAACATACTAATTACCTGTCATCCTCCTGCTCTTTATTTCGGGTAGAACAATAATCCTCACTGGAAGAACAGCCGCAATTAGATTCTCTTATTTCGTAAGCTGTATGATTCACGGGACTTTTTAGGACGCTCAGTACTAAATCCTGGGGGTAAGCAGGGGGTGGACTGTCGCTGCGATGAAAATCTTCTGTTGTCAGAATGGGCGTGAAATCCTCCCTTATGTACGAATGCCTGAAAGGAGGTGACAAGTGTCGGGAGCTATCTAAAGACCGATTTTCTTTGAAGTGCGGTTTTCTGGAGATTCACGTCATGTTGATGCGAAAATCTATATTTTTAATGCTCACAGGAGAATAGTTGACAAAATGAAATTATTTCTAGAGATAGCAGCGGTTGATTCTTCGTCTGTCAGATATTAGAGTGGAAATTTCTTACACACTTCAGAACAAAAATCTAGCAACAAGATCGAAGAGAAAACATTACGAAAACGTAATACGACCATTTGCGAGTTTAGCTGCGAATTATACACTACTCAAAATAGTCAAAGGATCACTTCTTTATGAGCTTGTCATTTTCGTAACAGCAAAAACTTATTAATTGTTATATTATTTTGGAAGGCAATATAAATGGCTACCAAATCCATGCTAAATTATTGAATAATTTTTTTTGTGTATTGGATATAAGTGAGAAAATTAAAGAACTACCGAAATCAAAATTTAAACCCTTCAGTTATTGACATCAATAGAAAACAAAAAGTTGTTTTTGTATTGAAATCAATGGCTTCTCGGACAGAAATCATCCAAAGTAGTGCGTTGGTTTTGACAGCTTAGGGTGCTTTTTCCAAGTTGATCCTAGATATGTTCGATGGGATTCGGGTCCAGGCTGCAAGCGAGACACTAACGCACGATTCCTACAGCGGAGTACGGGCCCCATCTTGCATAAAGATGAAATTGTGCCCCCCTTCTTCTGCTCTCTGAAGTATATTTACATCCGAGAGTATAATTCGACCCCACACCATTATTGAACCACCTCGAAATGGGACTATAACGTTCGTTCCTTCTTCTATATACTCTAGCCTGACCATCATTACCAAAAAAGTAAATTTAGACTCATTAGAAAGAAGTATTTAACGTCAATGCCTTAGCTGCCAACCTCTGTGTGTCCAAACAGATTGCATTATTTCTCTTTTGTGACGTTCTGTGAGCTGAGGTACCTATACTAGTCTTCTAGTTCTCAATCCACTTTCCCGAAGTCAATTTCGCACAATCTGGTCGGATATTTGGATTGACAACTTGGAATCAAGCTCTTTTCCATTACTGTTTTGGTGTGTTTACAGATAGATAAGAATTATCTATACTAATCCAAAGCCAAGAGGCAAAAACAACCGCTATTGTTTCCTATCAAATTTGTCCACTATCAAATGTCACATTATATATTCATCATAAAACTTATTCTTGTACACTTGTACACGATCATTACAAAGTTGTGATCCATAAAATTTTTGAGGAGTGTATTGAATTCGAAATTTGGACGTTATTATACATAACACATTACCCTGATCATCTAACATAATCTGATCATATCCATTAATTGCACATGAACCCCAAATCAGAAATCCCATATTAGGAATTTAAAAGACAGTTCTCTAATTTTGGTCAATATGGCAAAAATAGCACAGCTTGTACATTTTGTGCAGATTATCATTTGTATTATTATTTTGGTGCTGCAGGTTTTTCCGGGTATCAGTATTTGTAAATGAGAACTGGACAAAAGTCGAACTGAAACGTCATCCCTTTCAAAATCTAAAACTGTTGCTAGGCAACACATCATGGTATTAGGTACTGTAATGTTCAATTTGTCGGCCGCAAATAAGTAATAATAGGGGATCCCAAGAGGGGATTTCGGGATTTACTAAAGCGTGGCAGATTAATATACCGGGGGATACCTTGTACCCGGTTAAGTACCTCCACCAAATATGAGCCCCATATATAAGGCCGCCTGTGGGGGATAAAGGATCAGATTAGTAAAAAAAAAAAATTGATCATCAGAAATTTTCGAGCGCGTCAGATTAAGGTAGAGTGAGTTAATTACCTGCTAAAAAGTGTATATTCCAGTAATCTGACAATTTGAGAGTGACGTAAAGAAAGGGGAGGGCAGCAAAGTTGTAAAAAAATAACGTCATTTTGACATTCTCAAGCGTAGCTAATTGTTTTTATTTTGAAGGAAATAATTCAAGGATAACGAAAAATATATAAACTGACGATTTCCGCAAGCCGAAATAACAAAAATTCATCGATAAAGTTTAATGCGTGCAGCTGTGTGATACCTATATTTCCCTCTCCGAGTTTCTATTTCTCTATTCTCTATTCACTTTTTCTCTATCTATTACTCTCTCACACCGTCCCCACTCTGAATTCTGTTGCCATGACGCCATCACAGCTGATCATAGAGACTCGTTCGCGATGAAAATGAAGATGATGAATAATTAATCAATCAATTGATGGATGTAGCCGTTACTACGTGGTAGGAAATCATAATGAAGAAAAAAGAAATTGAAGTTTCTATGTTTTTTACCACTTTTATTTGTAACTAACGTTACTGCAGTTTCGTCCTATAAGGACATCTCCAAACTTATACAATATATAAGAACATTTTCAAACTTATACAATATATAAGTTTGAAAATTAATATTTTGTGTAAGTTTGAAATGTTCTTATATATTGTATAAGTTCGAAAATGTCCTCATAGGACGAAACTGCAGTAACGTTAGTTACTGCAGTGGTAAAAAACATAGAAAGTTTCATTTCTCTTTTCTTCATTAATAAATCAATTGATTATAAAAAATTAATTTTTTTTTAGCATTTTTTAAAACTATTTTCTTATAAATACAAGTATTCCACTTAAAAATACACTTATTTATTTGTATGTTATTTCCTGAGCTTTTCAATTGATTAAGTTCAATGAGTTGAAAAAAATTTTAAAAAAATATTTTTTGTCAGATTAAGCGAATCCTTTTAGATAATCAATATAATCGTCAGATTATGAGACAACACGTCTAAAACATAAAGATGAACCATATATATCTTTATTTGACGCGCTTGAGTATTTCAAAATGGCGAATTATTTTTGCACATTATGATAATGGCCGTGAGTTTGCGTCAGATCAAAATCTTCAGATTATTGAATGAAAGCTTTTTTTTGTTGCACTTTACACCCCCTTAAAAAATCTGACGCGCTCGATTAAATTTTTTTTCTTTTCATTTTTAACCCTTACGTACAACCACTCACATCATGCAAATGATCAGATTAACATACCAACATTATTAGAAATACGTAGGACATTGATGCTATCAATATCTGACGCGCTCGAGTTTGTCCATGCAACAGTATTTTTTTACAAATTTAATCATCTATAGCCGCTTCCCCCACCGATGAAAAGGTATATATTATATAACATTTTTTTCTTCTTATCATCTAAGCTTTGCAACCTAATATGTTTCAATGACGCTTGAGTAAATCCCCATTTTGCATCGTGGGATCCCCTGCTATAATGGGTAAGTTGATTCGCTGAACAGAATAAAATAGTCCGAACTGATGAAAGAATAAAATAAAATATACTTCCGAGTTTCAAGTCGGGTGGTTCGAGTGGGAAGCAGAAATATAATCCCGTGTTTAGAAAATTCTGAATTCAGCAGTAGATTACATCCGATCTGAAACTCGATTGGCAATCTATAAGTAGGTTATTATTTTCAATATATGTACAAATCTGGTTTTACGAAGGTGATTCTGATTCCTAAGGAGGTGGAGTGTTAATGGGAAGGAAACTGCGAATATCATTATTCGTATAATTGCTCATTTTAGATACTGGATGGTGAATACTAAGTTTGAGCTATTTGGGAAATTGTTGACTATATCAGCGTTCGACCTTAATTCTGTAAATTCAATATTTTTTTTATTTCATCAAACCTGCATTCAATTACAATGAAGTTTTTGCTTGACCAGGGTGCTTTGATTTCTAATATACTTCCTATGAAAATATATTGTTGAATAATTCTGTTTTGTCCCAATTCGAGACAACTCACAGCATTACAAACACAGCCACATCAGGAATATGAGCATTATTTGGTTCAATTAATGTGTTTGAAGTTATTCACATTTTTTGCGTTTTATTCTTTTACGCATGTTAACAATTTCGCTTCTATATTTTTTGTAAATGTCCCAATTGAGTTTTTTAAGGACAAAACTCAAGCACTACAGGAAAATCCTTAAGTCGCTCTTAGAGCGGTGCCTGTGCACCGTTGTATTTCATTTGAATTGGAATTATTTTCAAAAATTGTTTATACTTGTTTTTAGCAATATTGACAGTTTTGTGATATAACAAAGTCAGTTGCCTACTGAGGTTTGAAAGATTTCCTGAGGGAGACAATATCGATTTGGAGGAAAACATTGAAGTGATAACCTATTGCTCGTGTCCTTCTTTCTTTCGGTTCAGCATCTAATAACTATTCCCCAAATCAACGAAAATCATCTCTTCTTTCCTCTTCAAACCTCACAAAACCATGTTTTTGAGATTTAATCTTGAGAACTGATTCAAAAAATGCACCTGTGAAAGTATATCAGTCCTAAAGGTGGATATTGAGAGTTTGTTCCAAAAAAAAATTATTTTGTATAATTTCTGTATACATTTAAAAAAGGGTTATCGATGGCTACTTGCAGCAATCTCTGAGAAAGACAAAAATCTCCATCTAGAAAATACGATTTGGTTTGAAAACCTCCATTTTAAACAGTGTCAAATGCGTAGTGACTTTATTGTTTGGAATCAGTCGTATTCTTCTACTGTTTTTCACTTTCCCTCCTCTGTTGAAGTCTAGTTACAGTTTTGCTGAAAGGGTACATATACCTAATTTTATAACCAACCAAGCTAATTGAAAATTACTTGGCAATACATATGGAATTGTTGGATGGTCTCATTGTTTGATGGATACATCACAACCTCTGACTATTGAGCCAGATATCAATAATGAAATTAGCGGCTGGAATTGAGTTGCTAAATTATTGAAGTCAATGTATTGATTAGACCCTTCAAATCGGAAATGACAACTCTATAATTCATTATGATCCACACATTTTCCAACTGTGATTCAGGTTGAATGAAGTTCATATTCGAATATGTTTAATCGTTCAGGTAGAATAATGCTTTATGTGAAACCATTCGTGAATCTGATCAAAACATT